TGGGGGAACTGTACAACAACCAGAACATGTATGCTCTTCACATGGAACATAATTTATGTATTTTGATATGATCCATCATCCTCACTGGCCGGGCCCCCAGCCAGGTAGCCATGGTCCCACTGCCCAAGGTTGGAAATATAGGGCCCTGGCCCCTAAATCCCACATTGGTGACTAGGGCATTTGGATCATAATATATATATATTAGGTCATCAAGAAATTAATGTCACTTTTTTTTTTGTATGAAAAAACCTGAACAACTTATATATCAAAACAAATTATTTATTAAATGAAATAGTCTCTATTCTTATCGATAATGCCTTTCCATCTTACAATAAGGTTGATAATGCCCTGATTAAAGAAATCACTTGGCTTTGAAGCAAAAAACATGTCAATGTCCTTTTTAATACCTTCCATATTTGCATACATTTTCCCATTAAGATTCCTTGATTCCAAAGACTCTGGAATGCCCACAAAAATCAAGAGTCAGAGAAAGGTGGCCTCACATAACTAATGAACGGTGGCAACCAGTAAGACGAACATCTTCCAACAATGCATCTCTAAACCACAAATCCTGACAACATACCAACCAAGAGACTAAGAAAAGTGCAGAAGCTGAGAATCGAACCAATGTACATCCTCACAATGGTCCCAACTAATCATCAAATTGGTGTGGTGGTCACTGAGAGGCTTCCAACAAAAGTTGGAGGGATGATAAATACCTTAGCACCATAGTTAGAGTTAGACAAATCCTAGACAATTGTGATCTATTCAGGATGACCACAGACTCCAGGAGTGGTGTGTTCCTAGAGTGCTGCATCCATTTGGCAGTGGTAGATTAAATCATGTTCTTTCAACAAACGTGGCAGACAAGGTATATATGTACCTTCACATAACTGAGCCCTAAACCTCACTGCATGAACCTCAATATCAGGGGATGGAGGAAGAATTAAGTATTTACCCTCACACCTTTCCATCCCAAAATAACATGTTAAGCCTAATCTAATGTTATACGACAAAGGATACAACTAAGCTCTAATTTCAAACTTGAACCTAATCTAAGCCTTATCTAATGTTATACGACAAAGGATACAACTAAGCTCTAATTTCAAACTTGAACGTAACAAAATGAATAACCAAACACAACGTGCTGGCAGAAATAAATAAAAATTAAAATTAAGTATTAAGTTCCGTAACTGGGTAGAAACATAAAATAATTCCACTTTGGAATAAGTTACAAATATCACTATTGTATAATAAATAGTAAACTTGGTGAGAGAAGTTGATAAGAAGATATGAAAAAAGAAAAAAAAAAACCTTGAAGAGAGCACAAACTAAATGTCTGAACACAAGCACTGCCAAATGAGTAGTGATAGTTAGGTAGAATAGCACAGAGGGAGTCACATGGGAATGTGGCACTACTATTGGTGTTGGTTTGTCACATTATAATTTGCATGGGAGGATGAGTTAAACTGTGTGAATCCAGTGATATGTGGAAGTGATAGGCTTTTGGCATGCAAAAAATGTTTGCAAATAGAGGGCAGCACTGAACAAGAATAACTATGTATGTGAGCGGAAGTAAGGTACTTTTTTGGATCTAGCACAGTGGTCATTTTGTGGTAAAAATGGTCCTCAGAAATAAAAACATATCCCAAATCAAGTCTTACGAGATTGATAAGAAAGATAAGAGATGTTGTGGTCAGTCAGTTACATACATGTTAGCAATATTATACTTAATTCCCCATCAAATAAAAGCAATAAACGTTGGATTTATAACCTAAATCAGCAATTTTTATAATACAAGGCTCTACAGTGTTTTGTCATTGGGCAAGCTAAAAATTAATCTAACCACAATTAGATAATGGAAACAACTTATTAAAATACTGTATGATGAAGACAAAGTACCTCGAATTAGATTAATAATACCTTCATTCTCAGCTGCACCATCACCATCTCTTCTTCCAGATCTTTCACATCGACATAACAGACAACGTTCTCCACCAAGGTAGGGATTAGCTTGTTCCAAACTATCAAGGTCAGCAACAAGTCCCATGTCCACTTGCTGTTCCATGATCTACAAGAAACAATATAACATTGTAAAATAGGTTTAAAATAAAAATCCAAAACAACTCACCACATCATTTTTTATTAGCCAGTGCCTTAACTCCTTAGTTTTTATGTTACTAAATCAGTTAAAAACATTAATTACAAATTATGGTAAAAGTTTTCTATGATAAAATAATAAACACCTCATACATATCTAGCTACTAACAAATGAAAACTAAGAAATAAAAACTTGACACCAATGTTTCTAATATGAAATTTGA